CTCTTTCCTAGAAGCCTGTAGTTATATTGTGTTCTTTTAATTCCATTCTATAATAATTGCAGTATATGTTAAAGCATAAATTTTCCTCTGAGTAGTATGATGTTCTTTTGTGAAGAGCATTGCCTTGCTTTGTTTAGCTTTTCTCACATGTAGGGTTTTGTGAACAATTAAAATGTAAAAGAAGGAAAAAAAAAACTTGTTTCTTGACTTGTGTGAGCATCTTTGTATCTTGTTTCTCTTCTTTTTGAATGAACCAAAATAACTTATTCTAGGTAGATGTTAGCAGTGTTAATATGTTTGTACCAAAATGTTAGTCTGTTGCTTTAAGTAAGTGTAATGCTTTTATTTTGTATTTGCCTTTGGTTTAATAGCAGTAGCTGATTTTCCTAGTTCCAGGGAGATGAGTATTTTACAAATGTCAGTTAAGCTTGAGAGCACCCTCTTTTTCTTAGGAGTTTGCAGAAGATGTCACCTCTCGTAAACAATGTCCCATGTAAATAGAAAAGTAATTATCTTTTAATGTATAAGTAATATTAACAAGTTGCTCTAAAAGCTTTTGGTTGTCAAACTATTTAAAAATATGTTAATGCTAACAGTCCATTCTTACAAAATTAGGACTGGGCTCTTGGAGTTCTGCATGCCAAAATAATTGCTGCCATAACACTGATGGGTCCCCAGTGGTGGCTGAAAACTGTTATTGAACAGGTAGGAAAAAATTGTCCATGTGAGTTATCTGTGTAATACATTTTGAACATTTTTTGAATGTGTAAGAAAAGGGAGTTACTGTTGTAGTAATGGAGTAATTTGAGTAATGAGTATAACTCAACTAGTCTTGTAGAATCCTTTTAAATTGTATAGCCTAATCCGTTAAGATACACTTAAAAATCAAACACAAATAAACCTCAAATCTGAAATCAAGAAAATGCTGCGTATACATATATATAATTTTATTAGGTCTGTATTAAAGTGCGAAACATCATTATTTCTTCAGATGAATTCACGTGTTGAAATACTGGACGTTATTTATGTCCACCACTCAAGAACAGAGAATTTCTGCCTTCTCCAGAGCTGTAGAGATTCCTTCATTCATAGATGAGTGCCTATGAAAGACAGTATTTCCATTCCCCTTTCATTATTAAGCAAGACAGAACGGTTTCTGTGAGCAGTTCTGAGTCACATAGCGTGTTGCTTTCTTCGGCTTAAGTATTTTTTCTTGATTATAACCTCTAAGTTCTACGTTTGTCGTCTCAATGAAGAATCTCAATTGTTTGTCAGAAAGTAACTTTTCAGTCCTGCACTATATGTAATGGCTATGGACCATGTCCTGGCCTCTGTACAAAAGGTGCCTCTCTTGCTTAACTCTAGCACATAGTCCCAGTTGTTAAACCATTTACTGATCACTTCAGGGGTCACACTGGAGAAATGTAGTCTTAGTTCTGTGAGTACCTTTTGATGCATACCACGGCTCTTCCTTCCATTTTGAATGCTCTCCCTGGGCCTGTTTGTTATACATACGCTCTCCTCAGCCATCCTTAGGAATGGTTACATCCAGGCTGTGGGACAGAGGCCATCGTCTAGCTGTATGTGGTAGCCATTTGAAATCGGTCTTTTCCCGTTGTTAGTCTAGTCATGTTGAGACCTCAGCTCCTCAAGAATTGTGGAGGCCCTGTTTTCAGGCACAGACTCCACATGCAGAGGCTCTGGTCTGCCCAACCAAGTACAGAATAAGACCATATTTTCTGCTTCTGTTACCAAATTTAGTAGATTTGCTCTATTAGCATACACAGGATCCTCTTTCAGCAAGTTAACAGCACAAAGAGATCCCAGGTCACCCACAAATCCACCATCCACAGCTCTATTTAATGATCTTTCAGCTGGTCTCTTGCACTCCTGCAACCAAATTGCAACACTATTCCAGATTAAGTTGCACTCCTGGGCACTATTTAAATGATTTCCTGGAACCCTCGTGATGTAGATTGGCACAGAGTTTTTCCTTCATCAGCTGTGGCCATCATGATTTTCTTCAAGTTGGGAACACCTGTTTCCTCTCATAAGGAGAATTGTGTAAAACCTTGTAATTATTACTGTAAGTGCAAAGCATGGCTTTCTTGATTGATCCATTTTACTTCTAATTTGTTGTTCTTAGGTATATGCAAATGGGATTCGTAACATTGATTTACACTTCATAATCCGTAAACTGGCAGCACCCGTAATCTCTGTTCTGTTACTTTCCCTGTGTGTACCGTACATCATAGCTTCTGGTGTTGTACCTTTATTAGGTATGTATATATTCAGAATACCTGTTTATCATCTGATGGTTTAGAGCAATGTAAACATATTTGTGGCAATAAAACTTCGAGCTCTGGGTTATTTAAAAAAAAAAGAAAACAACAAAAAAATCCCCACTATTCTGCTAGCAAATGTTAAATGTTTAAGGATTGATATGTCATCTTAAAAGTTGGGGGGGTGAGAAATGCAATACACTATTCTGACTGGCTTTTTAATAAACCAAGTGCAAAATACATCAAGAGTATGGGACTGCATAATATCTAACAGCAGAAATGTAGGTATCTAGCTACTTTGGGAAAGGGGTGATTAATTCATTTCTTTGGACAATCCACCTCTCATTTTAGTCTCTCTTTAAGAGCTATACTGAGCTGAGGACATCTTTTCTGACTTGTCAGATTCTAAAGGAAGCTTAGAACAGGTGAAAATATTGGGTTTGTTTTGAGGTTTTCATTCAGTATTAAGATAGACTGTAAATTGTAAATATAGCTTATTTTTTCAGACTTTCCTATCTCCTCATAATTGAGGGAGATAATATTTTTAGAAGCAGGGTAGATGTGCTTTTTGATCAACAGTTGTCCTTGTTGCTAGTTAGTTTTGATGTTAACAACATGTTCAAGAAGTCCCATTTTATTCTTCAATCTCTCACTTCAATGCAGACTTTTTTTAGTGTCAACTTTTTTCTGATATGAGGTATACAGAAGTCAATAAGCAAGAAGAGCTAAGCAGCCCGATTTTTTTACTGTGGATTTTCATTGTGTTAATGGAAAACTTTCACCTTTAATGCTTCAGATGAAAAAGAACAGCAGCTGACATGTTGGATCTCTGAGATAAATGGATGTGTTAGTTATTTCACAGCCCTTCTACTGAAGTTACAGTATAACAAGAAGTATAGAAACAGGTACAGAAGCAGAAATGTGCGTGTTACTTCAGCAATGTTAGATAATGTAAGCATTGTGTCTTGTTTTGTAGGAGTTACCCCTGAAATGCAAAACCTAGTTCAGCGACGGATCTATCCCTTTCTGCTTATGGTGGTGGTTTTGATGGGAATTCTCTCCTTCCAAGTCCGCCAGTTCAAGCGCCTTTATGAACATATTAAAAATGACAAGTGAGTCTATAGTGTGGGGTTTTTAATTTTTCCACTTTAAATTGTGATAACAACTTCATATTGAATTCAGGTGTTGTATGCACTTAGGGCTAAAAGGGATTTTAAGAAGCTTCCTAGACAAATGACCCTCTGAGGCAGACCTAAACTGTCCTTGGCAAATGTTCTATCTGTGGTTCAGGTAGATAAACACAGGAATAGACTGTCCTTACAAATGGAAGACACTGCCCTACATCTCACTTGAATGTGTTTTATCACAAATGAAGCTGATTGCTTGTTTGTCTCCCCCTCTGTAGTCTTGAAGGACAAGTGAATGCAATAATTATGACACATCTGGAAGTAAAATCATGTCTCGGTCTGCTGCTTATAAAACTGTTTCTCCAACCTTTTCTGCATAACTTTTCTTATTCTTTCTACTCGTTAGTCCAATTAACCTGTTAAAGAACGTCCAGTTGACTTGATAGAGTTTGTCCTTACCAAATTTTGTACTGTTTTCTGATGTTTTCAGTAATTATTACTCCGTATTACTCAGATGCTTGATAAAATATTAATTTTCCCGGTGTCTTTTCTTGTTATCCTGCTTAGTTTCTAAGCTTTTCTTTTTCTGTGTTACCCTAATTACCTTGTGTGTTGATTATTTAGAAAAATAAGTTTTGGACCCCAGCAACTAGTCTTCCTAGGCTGCTTTTGTATTGAAAAGGAATAAATGAGTTTGTTGTGTTCATGTCCCGAGTTACCCTAGAACAGTTTTGCTTTCCACTGACTACAAAAGCAGTCAAACCTAGAGTAAACTTCTTTGAATCTTAAATGTTAGGAAGTGACTGATACATTGTTTGGTGTAAATGTGAAATTAATAGTATCTAGAAATATTAAGAGAGTTGTAACTGAAATTAAACTCTCAGCAGATCAGTTTATATTTTAGCACCTTTTATTTGATCAGCTGATTTAAATCGTTTGTCACCTGCCTTCATAACATGTTCTGTAGTATTTGGCCTACTGTAGTATGTATAGCTGGTGTTTATATTTACAAATGGGTTTCGAGCTAAATGTATCTTTCGGGCAGAATGTGTATTGAATTGCAATTTGCATTAATGTTCCAAGTTGCTTTCTGGTGTAAATGAGGCATATAAACAGTGTACAAAGCTGTGAAAATATATCTAAGTGAAAATTACTTTGATATTAAATTAATTTACTAAATGTTATAACCATCTTTGTAGACAAGAAGCTTGTACAACTTAAGTTAATGATATCACTTCAGGAAGTAAGCAAACAGTCATGCTAGCCAGTAGAGGTTTATGGTTTAGAAATACGCTTAATTAAATCTTTCATGTAACAAATTTCAAAAGCATATACACATTTTTGTGACATTCTAAAATGTACAAAAAATATGTGATGGTTGTTTGGGGATGGTACTGTGAGAAAAGGAGCGGTGGTGAAAAAGTTTCTAAAGGAAATGGCAGGTTTCAGGGGAAGAATTCATAGGTGTATGTGGCTCTTCTACATGTAGAACCAGCGTATAAATAGGAAGCATGGAAAGGAATTTAGATGGCAAAAAGTAGGAGTGTGAAACGACAATATAGAGGAAGTAAGGAATAATGTGAAAGGTAGGAAAACTGCTGAGCTGATGAGATGGTGAGATGTTGAAACAATTTAAGTAAAGGAATCTCGTAGCCCTTAGGCTTGACGTGGAATAGCATTAGGATATTTTCTCTCCCTTTTGAGAAGGATTGAGCGCAGTAAAAGTTCTTCCTTTATGATATTTACTTTCTTCAACCAGGGTGTTTTTCATTGGATATATGAGCTGAGCCTCTCTTACCCAATGTGTGTTCTGCATTGTGGCAGATTCTTTTTTGAACTTAGAACCTCATTAGCACTCTCGTTTGGTTTTATATCTGAGTTGTTCCAGATGCTCAAGTGGCAGTGGCTCAAACAGACACTGCGAAAGATGCTCTTAAAAGCGTCATCCAGCAAAGGGGCTGGGTATATAAATGATGTAAACACACTCTTTATATTTCACATCTTCATTCAGCTTATATATGTCTGAATTGTATGGCTACCAAAGTTAAGGCTGTAAACACAAACCTGTAATGCCTGTATTCCATTACGAAATGGCTGAATGTTGAGGAAAAAAAGATGAGGATGGGTGAAGACCATTAAGGGGGGAGGGATCACTTGTAGAATAACTTGTATTGAAATGAGAAAGCCACTTCTGCAGTAAAGGAGATAGAGTGGATTTGTGTTACAGAATTGTATTAACTTTCGTTAATTTCTCACTGTTTCTACTATAATCCCAGGTACCTTGTTGGGCAACGACTTGTGAATTACGAACGGAAGTCTGGTAAACAAGGCACATCAACAACTCCACCTCAGTCTTCACAAGAATAGATGGTCACATTAAACATCTTGACCTTCCCTTTGCCTTTCCATGTCCTTTTTTTCATAGACTCTTCTTCAGTCTTTGGATATCTCCCCCAATAATACTCTCAGCAGTGTTTTGGCTTCTGTTAGTAGCATCCAGATAGCAGTCAAGGCTCTGCTCCTTATCTGCATTTTCTGATGTTATCAATGCTGTCTGAGGTCTGTATATGTGTAAATAGAAGTATCCTGACACCCTAAAACCTTGGATTAAAAAGAATGTGCATTGTACATCTTTAAAAAAGTATATTAATTTATTAAATCTAGTTGTCACTTTATTTTGGACTGCTGTTCTGTTGACAATGTGCCACAAAGCAATAGTGCGAAGAGGCAAGATGTTTTTATAAAATTTGGAGCTTACTTTATGGTGTTCATAACAGTTCTTACTGTAGTAATATAGTATGATTTTTTCATGAGTGGAAAGGCCACACAGAGAATATCAAAAGTAAATAACTGTCTTACAGTCAGCAATGAAGTGGCTGTGGTGAGAACATAATGAACTATGTATCTTGCTGTCAAGTCTTTTTTATTATTTTGTATAACACCAAAGCTGTTGTACATTTTCTATTGCCTGATTGTTTTTCATGTGTCTGAGTTTGTAATATTGTACAGTTGCTGTTAAATCAAGAAAATATTTCCTCTTCTGAGAATTCAGATGTACTTGTTGAGGCTCAGCTGGGTTTTTCTGTTTGGTTGAGGGCGGGGGGTTGGTTTTGGGAATTAGGATTTCCTGAATGGAAACAGTAAGTAAAAAATTTTACTAAGGCTAGGTGATGGAAGCATTTAAAGGTACCAAGGAAAATAAGATAGGTTCACAACTTAAATTGTAGCCAATTTCTTATCAATAGTAGAATTTTTCAGGACCTCAAGAGGAGGGATGAACCTTATCTGATGTGTTTGCACAGAAACAAAGAGCATAGTGTAAGCAACGTTCTGACCTGGTCCTTAATTAAAGAGCTTGAAATCTTTTTTCTGTAAGTTACCAAAGTTGCAAATTGTAGTATGAATTTTATATTGCACAATTACTTAAAAAAAAAAAAAGACCCACAACAACAAAAAAAATCTCTTTTCTTTCAGAATTGGACACTGTGAATTTTTATGGGAATAATATTGAGGAAGTGATTCATCACATACCATTTATTGCCTGTGGGGCAGGGAAATACATACGCTTTTAAACAGACAAGGAAAAGTTAGCAGATTTCTTTGCAAGGACACAGTCAAACAAGAGCCACCAAATCAAGTCTCTGTTATTTCTGTATGTAGATAGGGTTCTTTT